TTATAATGTTTGAAATAATTTATATTCATAAAATTAATTAAATAAAAAATATAAAATTAATAAAGAAATAGAGCTTTATAAATTTATATGAATAATAAATATTAAAAATATTCATATTAATAAAATTTTTATTAATAAAAATATATGAAAAATATATAAATATATATTATTTATATATTGTTATAATTTTTTTTTTTTTTATGTATTTTTAAATTAATTAAAATTTATCATTATTTAAAACTAAATTTTTTAAAATTTAACTCAATTATTTTAAACTTTATTTAAATAATTCAAATACTATTTATTTTATTTAAATATTATTTTCATTATATATTTTTCATAATTTATAATATATTTTTCTTTTTTAGAATTTTATATATTATATATATTTAATTAATATTATTTTTAATAAATATTTTTGTTAAAAATAAATTGTTAACATCTACAATTATAATTTTTCATTTGAAAGGATTTAATTTTAAAAGATATCTGATTTTAATATAGATTATATTTTTATATTATTATATTTATATTTTTTTAAGAAGACTAAGAAATAAGAATTCATGATTTAAAATTAAACAATTTATAATTATACAATATTTAAATTATTTTACTTTGAAATATAAGATATTTTTAAAATAAGAAATTTTAATTTAAAATAATAAAAATAAATAAAAATTTCAGCATATTTTTGTTAACTTATTTAAGGTATTTTTTTTATTATTTTACAAATAATTAATTATGATTATAAATTAAGTTATTTTAAATTAATTTATAAATATAAAAATTGAGTTAATATTACATTATTTTTTTAAATAATGTATTTAATAATTTATTTATTAACGTTAATTAAAAAAAATCTATCAAAATTATAGTTTTTATTATATTTTAATTTTAAAATGAAATACATAGATAAATAAATATTTTAAATAAAATTTAAGTTTTTAAAACAAAAAATTTTATATATATTTTTTTTTATATAATGAATATTTTTTAAAAAATTTAAATGGATAAATATATAATTTTTTAAACTGTTTTTACTATTTTAATTTTATTTTTTCATTAAAACATTTTATATTCATTATATTCTCAATTTTTTTTAAAAAATAATAATTATAAATAACATATATATATTTAATATAACTTTCTAATTAAATAAATTAGATAGTATTTATATTATTAATATTTTATATGATTTTTTTATAAAATAATCTATTTGTTAATAGTATTATATAAACAATATAATTTAACTTATATTTAAGTTTTTTATTTAATTGATATTAAATAAATAATATTTTAATCAGTCTAATTCAGTTTTTATTAATATTATTTTATTATGATTTGCCATCACATTTCAGAAAACTTATTATTTTAAAAAAAAAATTGTGATATTATATTTAAAAAAAAATAATATATTAATACCATTTATATTTTAAAAAAATAAAATAATTATTGTAGCTTTGATATATATATAAATATTTAATAAAATTTAAATATTAATAAATAAAATACTAATTAATATTTATTTATTTTATTATTTTTATTTACAAAATAATAAATTTAATAATTAAAAAAGAAAAATGAAATAAAGCCTATTATACCTACCTATAATATATACAATCTTCCTAACATATAAGTAATTAAAAGCCCACTAAGGATGTACCCACGACGAATCTAATGACTTAAACGACTATCATAAAAAATACTCTGACTACTTTTTTACAACCTTAAACCAAACAAAATCTACCCGTAATCTCCAATAAACCACATCACTCCCTCAACCAATTCGCATAACAGTCGACTTTTCCCCTATAGACTTAGTATAACCATAAACCATAACCCCCTAAATGCGTGAAATTATAAAAAGTCTAATAGATATATCAATTTTATATTTCCAAAATCTCATAAAAGTAATTCCTATATAAGGAAACAATATATTTCCTTAAAACTGGTATTCACCCTGTTTAAATGTATAAGTCCCTTTAAAAGATTAAACACTAGGAGTCCCGAATTCTGACCTACATCTCTATATAACATATATAGACAATCCTTATTCCTCCGTATTATCAAGTGCTTCATTTTGTGCAGTAGATCCTATTTTAAAGAGACCTACCTTCGGTAGAATATAATACAATATCGGCATATTGATCTCTTAAATTTCCAGCAATGAAAAATTTGAGAACCGAGTAGAAACTACAATTCACGAAATGTTACATGTCCTCGGTTTTTCCCAATTCAGCATGCCCTACTGGATCGATCCTTCCACTAAAAGTTTCTACGGTTAGACTTTTCGTGATAAAATCTTAACTTAGCGTACTATCAGAAACCTCACTACAGATATTTTATATTCACAAAACGTTCTCTAGACAACCCGTAAATATTACGATTGTGAAAATCTAGAAGGTATGTAATTAGAGAATTAAGGGGGATAAGGTTCTGTAGGCTCACATTGGGAAAGGACAATTTTATTAAATGAAATTATGACTGCAGAGAGTATTCCCACTTAAGCTCCTCTTTCTATTTTTACTATAGCTTTGTTAAAAGATACTGGTTTCTATTAGGATGTCAATGAAAATTTCTCTTCTAAAATAAAATGGGGGAAAGGAAGAGGATGCGATTTCTTTTAATCCGCGTGTAAAAGTTAAACAGTTTAATACCAAGAATTTGTAGAAAGTTAATAGCCTAAAGGATGCTCTTATGAGAATGATGGATATGGGACTGGAGTGAATACTTTAACAACTGATGGTTGTTATTTTATGATTTCTTATTCCAATAAAATATGTAATTCTGCCGAAAATAACAACTTATCCAGTAATAAATATATGAATGAAAGATTAGAGACATTCGGAGCTGATTCCAGATGTTTAAACTCAACACTTTCATTTAGTAATTATATTTTTAATGATAGTAATAGATGTCATTAGATTAAATGTGCAGAAGATTTATCATCTATAGCTATTTTTTTAAACTAAATAAATAAATAAATAACCTGTACAAAAGAAAACGCTTTACTTAATATATAAACTGACTAAGGAATTTACATAGGAACTATTACATGCCCTTAAAACTTTAAATAATTTTGTAATTATGAACCTGTATGTAAAAATGCCTGTAATAAAAAAGGAATTTGTATAAAAGGACAATGTATGTGCCTATAAGGTTATGCAAATGAAGACTGCTCAATTTAATGTCCAAAGTATAGCGAAAATGGGCTTTGTGTAGATTTTTGTTCTTAAGGAAATATGCTAATTTAGATAATGTAAATATTTATATATATAAATATATATATGTATTTTTAATAATAATATATATTAATATAAATTAAATATAGACTTGTAGATCGTTTTGTTTTGATGGATTTTATTAAAATAATGGAGTATGTTCTCCATGTCATTCTTCTTGTAGTTAATGTACTGGTCCACTACCTAATTAATGTACAAAATGTTAATTTACATCATATTTAGATATAAATACATGTGTATAAGAATGTCCATTAACTAAATTAGCAGATGAATAATAATAATCATGTGTTTAATGTATTATAGGATGTAGTTTATGTACTGATTTATCTTCTTGTATTTAATGTGATTCTTCTTAAGGTTATATTTAATAAAATAATATATGTATAAAATAAACAATTTGCTAATAAAACTGTTTATAATGCTCCTTAACAAATTCTTTATAATGTGTAAAATGTTAATCCAATTTTTACTTGAATTTATAGACATAAACCTGCGTTTAATACTGTCCAATAGGCACTTATGCAAGCACATAAACTTAATAATGTATTCAATGTAATATTTTAGGCTGTCTATAATGCTAAAGCGAAATCACATGCACTCAATGTGCTTAAAATTACCGATTAGTAGGAAACACATGTACTTTATGTATATATCCATGCCTCACATGTTTAACTTCAAATTCAACTCAATGTCTATCTTGCTAGAATACTCTTTAGGTTTTATACAACTATTCCTGTTTGAATGATTGCCCGGTAGGAACTTACCTTGATTTATAAACTAGAGTGTGCAACAGATGTGTACTTGAAGGTTGTTTGGAATGTTCGAGTTTTTCCACATGCACTAAATGTGATGCTTATAATAATTATATTCTAGAAACTGGAAAATGCATAAGAAGTTCATGTGACACACCTTGTATTACTTGCCTTTCTACTAATAAATCTTCATGTAATTCTTGTATGAATGGAATGTATTTATTTTTTGGAAGTTGCTATGTTAGTTGTCCATTGGAAACTTACCCAGTTTTATCAACTAAAACTTGCAAATGGTGTTAATATGGATGCTTGAAATGTACAAATGATAATACTTGTTATCTGTGTGATAGTCGTAATGGATATTAGCTATTCGGTAGTATTTGTGTGACAGCATATGTTTGTTATTCACCTTGTAGAACTTGTAAATCTTTTTAACCTGATTTTTGTTTGAGTTGTTAAACGGGATATGTAAATATTTTTTTAATTTTTTTTAATTTTTTCTTTTTTTTCTTTAGTATTTATATGAAAATAAATGTTATACTTATTGCCCAAATAATGGAAGTAAACCTACTAGTGGTATTTGTTGAATGATTTTAATTTAATTTAATTTAATTTAATTTAATTTAATTTAATTTAATTTAATTTAATTTAATTTAATTATTTATTTATAAGATATATAATTAATTTTTTTTGAAATAAAAACTTGGTTATTTATATATTTTTGATATATAAAATTTTTAAATTATATTTAATATTAATAATATTTAATATTAAATGGAAATTTATTTTCTATGTTTATATTTGTCATTTAATTTAATTTAATTTAATTAATTTTTAAAGTCTTAAAATAATTAAAAAAAAAAAAAATTATTTATATTATATATATTGAGTATATAATTTTTTTTATAAATTCAAAACTTATTAAAATTTATATATTGTTAAAATATTTTATATTTTTTAAATAATAATTCATTAAAGGATTTATTTTCAAAAAGTAATATTTATTAAGAATATATAAAATTTAATATTAATGTAACAAAAAATAAATTAAAATATTAGATTATTTAATCAACTTTTTATTTTTATAAAGATATAATCAAACAAAATAAAAAATTAAGTTTAAAATAAAATAAATTATTAAACATATATATTGATAATATTTTAATAATGGTATTTAAAATGCTATTATATAATTATTATTTTTATTTATTTTTAGTATAAAATGACAAAAATATTTTATTATAATAATGAAATTTTAATAAAGTAAAATAATAGGAAATTAATTATAAAATAATATAAAAGTATGAATATCCTCCATTAAAAAAAACTAAAATAATTATTAAAAGTTTTAATAAAAATTGTAATTATAAATAAAAATCAATTAAATAAAAAAACATTGAATTTTATTTATCAAAACAAAAAAAATTTAAATAAAAATAATTATAATATACACAAATATATATAATATAATAATTGTTTTATATATAATATAAAACAATTAATATTTTCCTTAAAATAAATAACAAAAAATTGTTTTTATTTTAAAGTAATAAAAATTTGAATTAGTATAAATTTATCAAAATATTATACTTAAAATTAATTTTTATATAATTATTTTTATTAAAATATAAGAAATACATAATCTTAAAATATTATATATATTTATAAAATTTACTTTTTTTAATATAAATTTATATATTTATTTTTGATGATTTTAAATATTTTATTTTTAATAATTAGATTAAAAATCTTCAATAATTACATTTATGATCGCTATCTAATGTATATATATAAATATGCATTAAATATAAAAAAAAACAAAAATCTATAAATAATCTAAAAAAATTAAACATATATAAATAAAAAATAAAACTTAAATATTTTTATTATAACAATAATTATACTTAATTTACAAAAAATAAAATAAAAATATAAAATGGTCAAAACTCCAATAAAAGTAGTAATAAGAACTCGTCCAACAGCAAATTTCGCTTATAAAAATATAATTATAAACGAGAACACTAATTAAATATCAATAAACATAGCAAAAAACGCCGACAGTGGTTACGTAAATCACCAATAGGAAAATTGGGGTTTTTAATTTGATAAGGTACTATAAAATGTATCGCAAGAAGTAATATTTGATATATGTTGTAAAGACATAATTTTATCAGCATTAGAAGGATATTCAGGTTTTTTTTTATTGTTAAAAAAAAAAAAACAACAATAACTTGCTTATAAAATATTTTTTTTTTATTTTAAAAAATATAGGAACAATAATATGTTATGGATAAACTGGTGCAGGAAAAACATTCACTACAACAGGAACTACTACAGATTATAAATATAGAGGTTTAATTCCTAGATGCTTATCTCTTTTATTTTAAGAAATTGGATAGAGATATGAATAATAGATCACTGTAGGAGTTTCTTATTTAGAAATTTATAATGAATAATTATCTGATCTTTTAATCGGCTAAGGAAATTCAGATAATGTGAATTCCTAATTGGTAAAAATAAAAAATAGAAAAAATAAATAGAAAAAACAAAAAAATATAAGGCTATTTAAGAAGATAATATGGGAAATGTTCATGTTAAAAATCAAGTAATAAAATAATGCAAAAATGAAGAGGATGCCTAAGCAATGATTTTTGAAGGAGAAACAAATAAAACAATATCAGAACATAGATTAAATAAGTAATCTTCTCGTTCTCATAGTGTATTTACAGTACATTTAGAAATAAGAAGTAGAGTAGAATCAACTGAAAAAGTTATACTAACGAAAATTAATTTAGTAGATCTAGCTGGATCTGAAAGAACTAAAAAAACAGGTTTTTTAATAAAAATAAAATATATTTTTATATGTATATGTATATAGGGTCTGAAGGGCAAACATTATTAGAGGCATAATTTATTAATAAATCTTTATCTTTTCTTGAATAAGTAGTAGTCGCATTAAGTGAAAAATAAAGAGATCATATTCCTTATAGACAATCGAAATTAACAAATTTATTAAAAGACTCAATAGGTGGTAATTCAAAAACTATGGTCATTTGTAATATTTGGCCTGAAATAGACCATTTAGAAGAAACTATTTCAACCCTTAAATTTGCAACAAGAATGATGAAAGTATATTTATTTTATAATAATAAAAAGTATATATATATATATAAATAATAAATATATAAATGTATTATATGTATGTATATATAATATTATAGTATATATATATATATATATATATATATATATATTTATATTTTTATATAAATATTTTTTTTATTTTTTTCTATTATTATAATATTATTTTTTATCATTTTTAAAAATATAATAAATAATTTTAATTATTTTTAAAATATATTTTTCTTTTTTTCATAATAATTTATATTATAAAAAAAGAAACAAAAATTAATAATAAATCATGCTTAAAATAATATATATTTTTTTAAAAAAATTTTAAGGTTTCTAATGATACATCAATTTAAATGAAATTAGATCCCACACTTTTATTAAAGAAATATGAAAAAGAAATTAAAGAATTGAAATAAGGTAATATTTTTATTTAAAATAAAATTATTATATATATAATCTTTATAAAATATTATTTTAATATATTATATAATATAGAATTAGCTATGCATGATACATTAGCTAATAGAGGAAGAATTACTTATGATTAATACACTCCTGAATAATAGTATGAATAATAAGTACTTGCAAAGAAATTTTTAGATGGTGCAATAGAAGATATAGAATTCGAATCATTAAGATAAGTAAAAGAGTTGTTTTTCTAATTTAGAAATCTTTATAAAAATTTACTTAAAGATGTTGAAAATAAAAATTATGTTGATGCACGTTTAGAATAAAAAGATACAGTATTTATGTTTTATTAAAGAAATTAATTAATTTAAATATAATATAAATATAGAATGTTAATAAAAAAGTAGATTAGACAAAATAATAAAACTAAGTAGGAGTTGAAGAAAATAAATTTGGGTTTGGATTAGGAAAATCTAGTAAAGATGCAAGACCTTAAACTAATATTGGTAAAAAAATGTTATTGTTTTAAATAATATATTTATTTTGATTTTGAATATATACATAATATAAATATAGAAAATTTAGTAAATATACCAAAAGACGAATTCCCTTAATAAAAATAACTTGAATAAACATAGGAAAAAACAGTCAAATCTCCTGAAAAAAATAAACTAGAAAATAAAATTATCAATGTTGATAAAAAATAATCCTATTAAGAATTTAAGGATACTGAAGGAAAAGAACTTAATCTTTAAATAGTAAAAAATGTTAAAGAACTAAAAGAAAATAAAGAAGAAATTATTCATTTAACAAATTTATGTAATGAAATAAGACAAGAAATAGAAAAAATAAAAATAGCATTAGACAAAAAATAAGAAAATAAAAATTAAGAAGTATTTATAATATATATATGTATATATTGCATATGTATATATATGTATATGTATATGTATATGTATATGTATATGTATATGTATATATATGTATATACTATTTTATTTAATATATTTATAGGAAATTTAATAAGGAATTATTGATGAAGAAGAATATTAAATAATGTAATCATTAAAAGAGAAAAAAAAAGATTATAAATTATATGCTAATTAAGTAAAAGAATTAAAATCGACTATTATTATTATTGATTAAACTATAACTAATGTATTTTATTTTATTTATTTAAAAAAAAAAATTCTTTTAAATTAAAGTGTAAAAATTAACTTTTGTCTAGATTTGAAGAATGGTTCCAAAAAAAATATGGAATTTCTATAAATGATATAGAAAATCCTTTAATAAATCAACCAAGTGAAGATAATATCTCAAATAACAAATCCGAAGATATCGATTAAGATGCTTTAGCATATATAAGAGCTAAAAAAATGTATTTATATATATATAATATATATTTATTTATTTTTAAGGTCTCATAATTATAAAAAGCAAGAAAAATAGAAAAAAATAAGAATTGATATGAATTATTTATATATTAAAAAAAAAAAAAATATTAATATATATATAGAAATAAATATATATTTTTTTATAGTAAATAATAGAGAATTATATTTTAAATAAATTTAATTTAATAAAGGAAATTTTCTTTTTTTTTAAATACTAGCGATTTAAAATAACATTCTATTTTATATAATATAAGAAAAAAAAATTTATTTAAAAGAATATTATTTTTTATTTTTAATTAATAGTCAAATAATAAATAATATGCAGTAAATATATATTTTAGATATTTTTTTTATATCTATATAAAAAAATCAAAAGTAGTTTTAATATATTACAAATAAATTAAATCTATATAAAAAAAATAATTTTTTATATTATATTTATTCATTATTAATTTTTATATAAAATTTATCGATTTTATATACTTAATATAATATATAAGTAAATATTATGCTTTTTATTTAAATTATATTCACTTATAAAATATAAATATATTTATATTTTTTTAAAAATAAAATAATATAATAATTATTTTTTTATAAAAAAAAAGTAATATCTAATATAAAAAAATAAAATTATATATAAATTATTTTATAAAAATATATAAAAAAAAAATATATATATATATATATAAATTATATATAATATTATAAATTAATTTTTTTAACCTTTTTAATTTATTATTTAATTATTTTATTTTTAAACATAAAATTTTATTTATAACCTCACAAATATTTTCGTTTTTCTTTTATTCTTTTAAACTCATTTTTTTTTAAAATTATTTTTTCTGTATTTTAAAAATAGTCTGTTAACGATTAGCCTTTATAATTACAATAATTAATAGCTTTTTAAATATTAAAGTCATTATTTTTTAAAATACTAAATATTTATTTTGGGTTTTCATATCCAAATTTATCATATATATATTTTTATAATATATTATCTTATGATTTTTAAAAAATAGATATGTAATATAAAATAATATATTGTTTATACATTCTGTGACGTTTTTAAATTATAATATATTATTTAAATCTTTCAAAACCCATTTTTTCTTAGCTTTTATTTATAGATAAGTAAAGAAGTAATGTTATTTTAATAAATACCTTCTTCTAGTGATACTAATTCTGGTATAATAGCTTAGTATTTATCTCCAATATCAGCAATTGTATTAGTGCTTTTTTCTTTTAAAAATAAATAATTTTAAAAATCTAATTTCCTTTATAGTAAATCTTCTTAAGATACATTAATCTATTATATGTTGCTAGTTTGATAATATATATAGTTATATATATACTAATATATGCATATATATATATATATTTATATAAAAGATATAATTTATATTTAATGTTTATCTATATTTTTAGTATAATTTTTTTGTATTATTATTGTGTATACATACGTTATTTTTTTTATATATATAAATCTTAATTAAAAAAAATATAAGTACGCATTCTCTACTGAACTTTTTATAACTATTATATCATTTAGAATATCAAAATCATCTTATGTAGTCTTTTATAAAAAATTAGTTTTTTATGCATTTAATATATAAAGAGTATTAAAAATATATATATTTGAATATATAATTTCTATATTTTATTAATATAAAAATGATTAAAATTAAATATGATTCATAAATAAAACGATAATAGAGCTTTAAATTGAATTTTATTAATTTGAATAGAAAAAAATTAAATTAAAAGGCTATTTAAGGATAAATAAAAATATTATATATATATATATAATATATAAGTATATATATATTTATATAATATTAAATTTAATAAGAAAAAATAATATATATATTTTGATAACCTTTTAAGCTTTTTATTTTTTAATATTTTTTTTGACTGAATCTTTATAGTATGTTCTGCTATTAAAATTCTAAAGTAAAGTGACCAAATTCTCTGAACAATTTTTTTAGCCCTCTTTTAATTGTTGTTATTGTTTATATTTTATGGTATTTATTCATAAATAAGTTTTTATTTTTTAAGCATATCCCAATCTAATAATATATCTTCTTACATAAATTAATCAATTTTTTATTTTTTTTATAATAATAGTTAGAGTTTTATTATTATTATTTTAAATCTTTAGAAGATTAGTTATTCTAATAATTATTTTTGTTTTAATCTTAAACAATATTTTATTAAGTTTTTTCTACAGTTTAATTAGTTTGTATTTCTACAGATTATTTTATTTCGACTTATTAATTAATATTATTATTTTCTTAAATATTATTTATCTAGCCTTTATCCTATATCATATTCGATTGAAAAGGTTAGAATAGGCTTTTTATATTATCCTATAATTTGGGAAATTATTATTTTTAGAAAATAAATTTAATATTTTCTAAGTTTATAGAATAGAGGCTTTCATATTAATTAGAAATTTAGTCTTAAATGTTATCAGATAAATGGCAAGAAAATTACATTTATAATTTTTTTTTATTTATTTTTTATGATTATATTTTATTTTTATTTTTATATTTTTACCTTATTTTTTAAAAAATAATAAAGTATTATTTTATTTTTAAATACGTATATATATTTTTTTATTTTATAAATAATTTTTTAAAAATAAATAATTTTATATAAATTTATCTAAAATAAAAATTATTTAATAAATTTTTATTTTTTTGATTAGATTTTTTAAAATATTATAAAAATAATAATGAAGGAATGTATAAAATTTTTAATTCATATTATATATTTCACATTTTTTTTTAGTTATAAATTATTTTAATATTTAATTATTAATATATAATTAAAATATCTAATTTTGTCAATTTTATAAGAATTTTTCTAATTATTTTTATTTACAATATATAAAATTTTAAATTTAGTTTTTTTTTTCTATTGATATATATATCTTTTTATAGTAATTAATTTTTTAAATCATAATGTTTTTTAAAAGAATTATATAAAAAATTAAAATTTAGACTATCCATTATTAATATTTTTTAAATAAATAAATTTAAAATTTATAAGATTTTTTTTAAAAAAAATATAGAAAGATCTAATTTTCATTATATAGATATAATTTAAATTTATTTTTGATTATGAAAATAGAAATTAAAATATATAAATTGATATAAATTATATTTTAATATAAAATTTAAATTTTTAATAAAAAATAAATATAATAATTACTTTAATTAATGAAAACATAAAATATAATTTTAATGATAAAATACTATTT